AGTAGCTCCCACTGACTTTCATAAAGTCAGATTTCGGTGGGCCTAAATCGATTAGGGTTCCGCATGTAACCTCTCCATGAGGTGTGGGGCCCACCATTGAGGAAGGTCATCCAATGACCAAAAGGGACACCATGGTAATGATGTGCATTCAACCATGGTGTGCGCAAGAGCCATTGTCCATTGAGCATGGGCCAAGTACTTATGGCCCATGTACGTGGCACATCACACCTCCATACATCACATGGAAGGATAAATTGATCCAATCAATTAGTTATCTGTAAAGCCCATTTGAAGCCCATTTTDAATCCATAATATTAACCATTAATATTATCTAAGTATATGGGCCGAATTAGGGTTGATGGCTTCGGCCCATATAACTTTATCCGTAGAGTGGGCTTTTAGCAATTTTAACCATTTAAAACTGGGCCTTTACAGGTTGGGCCGAATTAACCATTTAATTAAATATCAATCCTCAGGCCCATAAGTGGGAAAATTAGGGCTGACTTTCAGCCTTGATTGAACCCTAGATTTGGTCCAAATAATTTGAACCAATCTTGGTTYGAATGGGTCTAGGGTTTGATCTTTAATTAAATCTTTAATTCAAGAAAATAATCTGAAATTAAACACTAATAAAAGAAAATCAAGAATCAATCGAACAGGGCTGTTCACACAATCCATCCTGCAAAACAGAGGTTAGATCACAGTTTGCAGTTTCATAAACTGCAAATCGCAGATTGCGATTCTCCCATCTACGAAATCTCCTTCCTTGCGCCGCCATCTTCGATCCAAAATAAAATAAATAGAAATCCTAATTTCTATTAATAATTACATCATATCAAATACCTATACATTCAGTCTAAAAAATAAAAATATATATATTTTACAGACCAAATGTAATAAAAATAATCCATAATCTGCAAAATCGCAGGTTCCCTGCGCAAATCAAGACTTCGATCTCCTCTTGTACGAACAGCCCATAAATTAAGAAAACCATAAAGAACAATTCTAAACAATAATCAGATTTATATAAAAATTAATTTCAAATTATTCGCCCATAATTTTGGGAACAAATTTCCTAAAACCCTTATCTGCGCAAATCGGGTAGAACGCCTTCTGCCAATTTGCGCAGGTTCAGATATGAAACAAATTGGTTCAAGATTTAAACCATGGCTCTGATACCACTGAAGGGATGAGAGATACATCGTATGGACGCCCAAATCTTGTGGAATAAAGGGGGCGAATTTCAAAAATTTTTCTCTCCCTTCAATTGGGAATCGCATTCCCTATTTAGAAAATCATATTTTCAATGATCAATCTTGAACCTTAAACTGAACCAAATCTGAACCAAAAGGAGTAGGAGAGAGGTATACCTGATACAAAGAAATATTATCTCTCAATGAAGGTGTTCACGCCCAAGGAATGATCCAAAGACTGCTCCCACTGAATATGGCGCAGTGTAGGATGGAGCAGAATCAGCAGTGTTCTCCTCCAAGAACTCTGTCCTTCGCAAGAAACAGCAGAATGGCACGTGAGCACAGCTTTCTATCAATCCTTTCACAAAGAACTGATGTCTAGATCGAATCTTGACTACTCCCACAACTGGAGATCGAACTGGCAAACTTGGGCGGCAAGAACAAGGAGGCGGCAAAAAAGAATTCTGCAGGGTTGCTTAATTCTTCCTTTTGTGATTTCAGCTCTGAAGATGATGTGATTATGTGTGTCTTCTAAAGGTTGCCGCCCCCTCCTTCTTTTGTAACTCTAAAGGATCAGCTCCTAATCCAATTAGGACTTGCTGATCCAAATCTAATTTGGATCAGACATCCCTTTAGGTGATAAGGATAAACCCTTATTTTATCTGCAGATTAGATTAGCTTTCTTCTAATCTCATTAGGTGGTTTCTAGATCTGAATCGCATTCAGATCTGGACTCTCTGAGTGGATAGGGTTAAGACCCTATCCTATCTGCTAATCTATCTCAGAATTCGCCCCATAATTAACTAATTAAATAGCCCAGTTCGAAATGGGCTTTAGGCCTATTAAGCTTATGTACTCACTTAACCTTCCTAACTACTGCCCAGTTGAGTTTCCTTGTATGGCGTGGAACCCAAGCATTGATCTACACATTAGCCACATGGGTTTGGCCCAGCCTTTGTTACAAGGCCTGGCCGAATGCACTATTATGGACAGTGCACCCCCTGAAACCCATCAAATGGGCTCTATGGGCCCAACACTTACHCTAAGTGGTCCCTGGGCCAAGCCACCTTGTAACACCCAGGGACTGTGGGCAGATGCAAGATTAGCCCATTAGGTATTTCCCTCAATGGTCTTACACATAACCTCTCAGCCCATACACTACCCGACAAGAGAGGACATCTCCCTCGGCTGCAAGGAACAGTGTTGCACTATTTACTTATATGGATCCCGGGAATTAAAACCTTTTTGCAAACCTTTTAGAAACCATAATATATATACTTTTATATCTTATATRAAATATAYTTTGCAAAACAAATCTCAACGATTGAAATCGGCTGCCGGTAGTCTTGGTTTCCATCAGTAAGAGTGCATCCCTGATCATTACCTTTGTCCGACAAAGGGGCTGATCCTGTCACTATGATCACTCACTCAGTTGAATTCTCAGACTATCCCAACATACTCAGGTTTTGACCCCCGCTAAGGATCTCACTGATTGGTATATCAAAGACAGCCCAATCCGACACTCATTGCAGTATCATAATCGAGTCTAGGGGTCGGGTGTAACATTTCAGTTTTGCCCATTAATCTCCAAGGTCTAGGGCAATACTGGAAATCTGGTCCAGTTCAAATATTCAATTTATCCTACACTGTATGTGCCTAGGGTCTCACCCTGGCAGTTGAGACAAGCCACCCCAACCGACTTGGTGGCACCATAGTGTCAGCCTTATCAGGATAGGTCTCCCAAACCAACCCACTGGCTGTGAACATTCTAAACTAACACGAGTCTCATTAAGTATCCAGTTTAAGGGTATTACACAGAAACATACCAAAGGAACATGAATCAAATATGCATTTTTATTCATTTACAATAAACTCATAAAGTACATCATTCTGATTGAAGCTAAGGGCATACAAAACTGTCCAACAGATATGACGGCCTTGAGTGCATGAAGAGTTGATCAGTCGATGATGGCGTTGTAGGGTGAGCGAAGTTTCATGACCAAAAACTCTATCATCTCGATAACGTGTTGAGGTTTTGTCCCTATAGTTAGAGGTAGGGTAATTCTTCCTTCTGGTCATATGGATGCCTTGAAAAGTCTGACCAAAGGCACATCAATAGGTTGAAGCCAACCTGAGGTCAACTGCATCCTCTCGAATGCCTTGTAAAATAAGACGTCGATTGAGGAACAATTATTTGCAATGATCCTTCTGACTTTGTAATTGGCAATTATCATTGAAGCTACTAATGCATCATCATGGGGTGTAGAAACTCGCTTCAGGTCAACGTTAGAGAAAGAGATGAGTTCCTCTGGCCTTTGTTTTCTCGATGTCCTGTGCTCAACATGTAGCTGTCGGGCATAGGCCTTTCAGGCCGACGTGGTCACACCTCTTGAAGATGAGCCACCTGAGATGACTTCAATAACCCCCCAAGGTTTTTCTAAGACGAGGGTCGACTAGTGTTGCTGACGGTGATGCTAGAATTTCACCGTTGACGTAGTCTTTCAGGTGTCCCTATTGGATGAGGGACTCAATCTCATTCCTGAGGTCATAACAGCCTTCAGTGTAGTGGCCAGTGCCATGGTGATACTTGCAATCATAATCCGACCTAAATCTGACATAGAATATCTGAAACCGTCTCCTATGTCCTATCCTCGTGAAGACAAAAAACTGTGGACAATATATGTTTTTTCAGAGATCACATCTGCGCTCCACACAGAACGCCCCACAAACACCCCCACATGCGCATCTCAGCATGCATTTGAAGAGTTCACATCTGCAACCCACAAGGGGGTGCCCCAATGTTCCACAGCACATCCCCGTCGTGTATTGGGAGCATCTACCAATGATGACATCATTGGAACTGATACCATCATCGGGAAATGTTCCCAATGCACGGCGGAGATATGATGTGAACTTGCATTCCACACATCTCCCCAAGTTATCAGTGGCGGAAATGCTGTGGGGCGGCGGTGTGAATTCGTTTTTTTCACGTGCCTAGATCTTGTTCTCAAGGATCGGCTCTTTTTTTCACTACATACATTGTTACACAGTAAACAACTCTTAGTTTGGCTTCGAATTCCTTGTGGTAGGCTGTAATCTTTTTTTTTTCCTATTCCTCAAGCACGAGGAAACATAACAATGAACAAAACTACTTGGCAGTTTAAGGATCGTCTCTGATACTTAGGCAAGTCCACAAGGTATAATCAAGGTTCAAGAATTGAGTATTCATATACAATTTACAAGCACAAAGAAACAGAACAATGAAGAAAGAAAGCTAAATTGGCAGTTGATGGTCATGGTTTGTCCCTACTGGTTAGTGAAGTCGAAGACTCGAGGTATAATCAAGGTTCAAAGTATTGATACGCAATTAGAATAATACTCATGGATGAAAAATAGTCCAGCTGCCAACCTTTAAACCTGAACATGTCTAGGAAGGCTATTAACCATCAGCTATAGCCAAATGTCCAGTAATTGGCGTACTGGGGACTGAAAAGTTAAAACCAAGATGCATCATACACTACGGTGCTGATTAAATCAGATTTCCTCTTACAAATTTGGTCTTCACACCCACCTCACAGAATCACAGCCCTTGCAGCCGTGTCAGGAAATCCGAACTCGGTGCTGATACATATCGATACTTTGAAGTTTCAACCTTGGGTATAATCTCTGAAATGCATCTTGTGCCTTGCAACTAGGCGCATAGAACAGATCTTAGATGTTTGGTCAATGGTCACTAAATCGCCTGATATTCGTGTATTATTATATGAATGATTAAATTTGTTATCAGAAAATTTATAGGGAGTCTAGTTACAAAAGAAAGCAGTCTCTGAGTATAGTGTAAATAAATGTACATCAAAGGCATGGAAGAAACTTGAGAAACCCACCGCCAACAATAGTAACCACATAAAAAAAGAATATCTATCACTTTCCAGAGCTCACATCAGAGACTGCAATCTTTGACCGCCTGACATAAAACTGTAATGGTCTACCATATACACATACAAGAACTTGAGTTCACCCGATCGTCCCCTTTTCACGAATTGGTTTTTTACAAGCAAGCAACATCCCAACAGTAATTCCGACGTGCACTATTTACCATACTGGAATTCACACACTATATAAAACTTACCTCACAAAGTTGGTAACACGAATTAACCCCGTCCTGCATTTCCATGCCTCTGGTTCCTGAAGTAGCTAAGAAGTGCCTGTGCCTACAAGGAATAGGGAATTGAAACTTATAAGGGCCACTTTATTCAACATCAAGAAGCTTGAAGAGGGATAGATAGATGACAATGTGGTGAACAAATAGAAAAAGGAAAATAACTTATTTACTAATTCCACATGAATGTAGATGTGAAAAGTAATAGATCATACTATTAGATGTGACTCAAACTAATACTAATGCTAATAATAATAATAATAATAATAATAATAATAATAATAATAATAATAATAATAATAAGATGATGATGATGATGATCAGCACCACCTAGAACCTTACAGTTTTAGTCATGCTTTAAATCAGTGTTAGCAATCTCTATACATGAGGTGGCATACCATTTGAGCAAATCATCAACCTGGGCTTGCCAAATTTTGCACATCTGAGATGAAGAACTACTCACTTTACAATTGGGTGATAAGCAGATCCAATCATACCTTTTCTTTGGCCCGTGGTGTGCCCGATTGTGACAGTGCCACTAATGGTGGGACTGCTCCCTCTTGAAGCACCAAGCTACAAAACTTATGGCTGTTTGTGCAAAGCTGTAGGAGTGCTGCAGCCGCATTTTCCTTTCCCCTTGCTGAACCCAATTCAACCACTTCAACAAGAACGGGAATTCCTCTCTCCTGACCAATAGCAACCCTCCCCTCTTGAATTGTGGCAAGGTTGGCCAAAACAGCAACCGCCTTATCTACCATTCCAGCTGCTGGGTCCATCAGCTCAACAAGATATCTTACTGCACCAGCCTGCACAATCCGAGCCTTATTCTCATGATAAATAGACAGATTAAACAAAGCTGTCGCTGCATCTTTCTTTCCCCGAGGAGTCCCATTGCCTAATAACTCCACCAGAGGCCTAATAGCCCCAGACCTTCCAATCTTGACCTTATTCTCTTCAATGACTGAAAGGCTAAAAAGGGTGGCAGCAGAGTTCTCCTTTGCCTCAGGACTTCCTGTCTCAAGCACATGAATGAGGGGATCAATGGCATCTGCATTTGCAATTGAAGTTTTGTTGTTGTCATTGATTGACAAGTTGAGAAGTGCTGTAACGGCATTCTCTTGGGTCTTTCTATCCGCTGAGTGAAGCAGACCAACCAACAAACTTATGGCCCCACATTCTGCAATTATAATCCGATTATCCATGTTGTGCTTAGCAAGAAGGCGTAGTTCAGTTGTGGCAGCTCTTTGTACATCAATGGAAGTGTTCCTCAAGTCTTCAACCAACCTCTTAACTTCAGTTTCAACTCCCAAAAGATCAGCTCTTGTGCCAATAGCTGGAGAAGAAACTATCCTTGGAATAAACCTATCAGATTGCCGTCGCCAGATGGTTTGGCTTCTAGATCGTGTTTCCGCTATTCGGGATGGGAACTCTGGTTCTCTAGGTGGAACCAAGGCAGCTGGAGCTGGAGGTTCTGATGACACTTCGCCTGAGGCATCACTGCTGTAGTGGGTCATATCGCTGGACACACGTGAGATCTCATTTGCATCTGCAATTGTTCCTTGGGCACAGTCTGTACTGGACACTGTGCTGGAGACTGAAGGACTTCGATTATGTCCCTTAAGCTTCTCATCAACTGCACTATCTTCAGGTTCTTTTCTTGATGAGATCGAAGATTGGCCAACTGAACCTAAATTCCTCTCTTCTGAGTTGATCCCCCTATCATCAGAACCTATTAATGACATCCTACCAATATCCAACCCAAACCCATTACTACCACCACCACTAGTCAGAGCACTCTCTGATGCAGATTGAGGATGTGAAGGGGAAGTCCTCTCTAGATGTGTTCCATTAGATGAAAAAAAGTTCTTATGTGGTGAACAAGTAGCCCTAGCAGATTCAGGTGACTTTGGATGGTTGCTTCTGGTGGGAGTACCTGAATATGGAAGGCTATATGTATCTCTGGAACTGGAATCTGCATGTGCAAGAAGGGCTGAAGGCTGGCTTAAGCTCATTGATTTCGCAGGGTCAGGCAGCTTCACATTATTTGACTCACACCAGTTTGCAATCAGTGCTTTAACAGTATAATTTGGAATTAAATTGGTGTGTGCCAGAGTCTGCCGAGTCTTGGGGCAAACAGTGAGACCCAGATCAAGCCATCTTTTTATGAAAGCTCGCTCATAAGTTTGTCCTGATGCCACAATCACGGGGTCTGTCATCAATTCAAGGGAGAGAGGACAACAGAAATCAGGAGGGATAGTAACTCCATTAGTATTCTGGGACTGCATTATCTTAACAAGACGGTCATGCATGTTGGTGACGAGAGCAATCATGTGATCTATGTATGCCACCTCTTCATCCTTTTCAGCCTGTTCTGCATTCACCTTCACCTTTTCAAGGGCCACAGCCTCCATTAGAAGTTCCTGATTTGATGTCAAGCTTAGTGAGTCTGCAAGTTTCACCAGTTTCTCAGAGCTTGGCATGGAGTTGTCCACTTGATCTCTAATAGCTTCTTTAATGATCGTTGACATCTGTTCATATCCTATACAACGAAGCTTCTGAATACAATGCTGCAACCAGTAATGACCAGTGTCAGAAATTAAAATGAGTTATTTCATAATATGGAACAGTATAACCAGTAACAAATGCACATGGGCATGGAAATCAGAACCCAATGCATGTCCAGGAGTCTGATTCAAGCATTCAGCAAAAAGAATTAAGAATGACTCGTGAACAAGTTTATAGAAAAGTATAACTATAAATTACTAAAAAGGTCTATATTTTTTTTCAAATTCTAACATTATATATCTATGAGAAAGGTCTAGAACTCATTTAAAAAAAAGCGGAATTCCTTGTGTATATTAATTATTCATTTACACCAAACAAGCAAGTAGATAGAGGAGAATGTTATGTTGAATTGTCCATCAAATAAACAAGTTTATTTCTTGTTATTTTCTTCCTTAGCCCTGCAAGGGATTTTCTGTAAATATCCTTATTTCTGTAAGATAGGGCTGTACTGATCAACCCTAACCCTAGCTCTCTGTTCTGCAATTTCAGCAAGAGAAGTCTTCCTAGAACTCTCTTGGAAATCATCTGTTTGGAGAGAAACTCGGTTGGTTGTCACCCAGGCCTGTTTTACTCTCTCAGAAATTTTCTTTGGGATTAGACAAAGTTTGGAGGAGTTCTGATCTTCTCTCCTGGGTGACAGCAGTTTTCTTCTTCTGTGGACTGGTTCTTTCCCAAATAGCCATACAAGCTTCAAACATTAAACCTTTGGTTGCTTTTGCTTCAGACTCGGGAGTTTCAATAGATATACTACATTCGTCTTCAAGCTGCTTATCTGAAATTTCTTGGTAGCCAACTTGAACTGCACAGAGTAATTCCCTCTCCGGAAATCTTCTCATATCAGGTTGGAGATTCTCAATGTCTTCTCAATCGATCATTATTTATATTGGAACCCTAGTTTTTGTGCTGCCCTAGGGTATCTTAACCTTTCAGTTACTGGATAGGAGTTTGTAATCTGTTCAGGAGGGTATTTAATCCTCTCCTCAGTTCAACAGTCCTGAAACTCTCGGGTTTGGACGGTCAACACAGCACACAATCCGGTTGGTGTTGTTCTGGGTTGATCTTGGAGGATTTCGATTCCTCTATAGAGTGGCATATCTCTGCCGAAGTTGTTCGACCATATACTTCTCCTGGACCAGATTCCATTGCTGTTTGTCTGCATTACTTCTGTCTTGACATTTAGACCTCGTTTTTTTTTTTTTTTGAGAAAGTTGTGTGTTTGGTTGCTATGATACTACTTTCAATATTTAAATTGTTGCTGATTTAAGTGAAGTGGTTAATAACTTTGAAATACAAATACCAGTGCTGCTACATTACTCCCTGGGTTGCTTTTATTTATTTATGATGGCTGTAAAAGACAGATATTATTCCTGTGAAGTTCCATTTCAATTTCTTTGTTGAGGGAAATGGACTCAAATGCTATTTGAATGGGACTGTATGCAAACCTAATGAAGCAAACAGTAAAGCCTTTACACAATGAAAGCTGGACAACAGAAATTAGCATCCTAGATTCTAAGCTCCATTTTGCCTCACATTGGTGTTTCCATGAGGAGACTGAAAACGGCCTATGAGATGTATTCTTATTTGAAAAAGGTTTATCATCAGTCCAATATGTCATGGCAATACTAGATTGAATCAGAAATCTTTGCTTACTGCCAAGAGGATAAAAAGATACAAGCATACCTTGTAGGCTTTATTGATCTCTGGGCTGAATATGAACTGGTTCACACTGATCCATCTGATCCCACAGAGTGTGTCAAGTATCTGTAGAAGCATTTTGAGAATAGAAGGGTGAACCAGTTCCTTATGAGGCTGAGACCTGAACATGAAATAATCAGGTCAAATATTTTGAGTAGAGGCATTCTTCTAGATTTAGACTCTATTATGGGAGAGTTGTTGAGGGGAGAGACTAGGCTCATAACTGCTGCAAACATAGAGGGGAAGCAACTTGATTCAAGGACTGATACTGTTTTCATTGCACACAGGAGTAAGAAATCTGGTGGAAAGGGTCCCTTCAAAACCCAATGTTATGAATGTAAAGGGTTTGGACATATAGCTTCACATTGCAAAATGAATCTTTGCACCTATTGCAAACAACATGGTTATATCATTCTAGATTGCTCAATTTGCCCACCCAAGGTTCCCATGAAGAAGAAAAAGCCACGAGCTTATCAGGCGTTTGAGGGACAGAAGTCCGACGCCTCTACTTCCAAAGATGAATCTTCTACTTCCTTAAATAAGGAAGAAATATGACCACCAGTATCCTTTGCTATCTCATTTGCCTTTTCTACTATTGGACTATATGGTGAGTTCTCTGGTTACTATTCTTCCTCCTCTCAAGTTTGGATAATTGATTCTGGTGCTACGAATCATATGACTAGAGCCTACCATGAACCATCAAACAAGCTTTCTAAGACCCACCATAAGCATATTGTCATTGCCAATGGTGAGAAACATGACATCATTGGGAGCAAGAGTCATATTTTGAAAAACTTAAATATTTGTTTGAGTCTGGTTTTATTAGAACTAAAATTTCCTCTTTGAAAACTTTTGATACATCTTGTGTTCCTTGTTGTTTGAGTAAGAGTCATATTTTGCCATTCACTCACAAAGCAGAACATGTTATTTCACCTTTTGCAATTATACATAGTGATGTTTGGACTTCATATGTTATTTCTCAATTGTGATACAAATATCTTGTATTGTTCATTAATGATTATACCAGGTACACTTGGATCTACTTTCTCAAACACAAGTCAGAAGTTTTATCAACCTTTCGGTTGTTTCATACTATGGTTTGAGTTTGGTTTCAATCAAGTGTGCAAGTCTTACATTCAAATTCAGAGAGAGAATACAGTGATGGAGAATTTCTGGTTTATTTGAAACATCATGGCATACAAGTCCAATGGTGTTGTCCAAGTACTCCTCAGCAAAATGGTGTGGTGGAACGAAAGCATGGCCACGTTCTCAGTGTTGCGAGGACTCTTCTACAAGAGTCACATGTACCTCCCACATTCTCATCAGAAGATGTTTGGTTCCCCTCCCCCCAAATCTTTCCCATCTTCATGTTTTTGGATGTTTATGTTCCATTCATCTTACCCCTTGTGAACATTCAAAGCTTTCAGCTCAATCCTTTATCTGTGCTTTTGTGGGATATAGTCCTAACCACAAGGGATTTCTTTGTTATGATCCTTTTGCACGTCGTATTGTCCAGACACTCCTTAGCAAAATGGTGTGGTAGAAAGAAAGAATGGTCACATTCTCAACGTTGCGAGGACTCTTCTTCAAGAGTCACATGTGCCTCCCACATTCTGGGTAGAGGCTGCTAGTACGGCTATGTATCTGATTAATTTATTCCTTCACGGTTCTTGCTAACATGTCTCCTCATCAGAAGATGCTTGGCTCCCACCCAAATCTTTCCCATCTTCATGTTTTTGGATGTTTACGTTTCGTACATCTCCCCCTCGCGGTCCATTGCCTGTGTTTATGACCCCTTCCGGTCCAGATCCTTCGCCCATCTCAGACAATCTTGTAAGTGACACTCCAATTTCAAATTCCTCAATTGTTCCTCCTGTTCCTTTGTGTCATTCTACTCGTATCTCTAGACCACCTAACTGTTGTACATCGGATCATCCGCTATGTTTAGGGCACTTTATCCATGGTCTATTCTTCTCTTCATCCTCTCCTGTCTAACTGAGGGCCTATGTTGATGCAAATTAGATTGGTTGACCCAACACATGCCATTCCACAACTAGATGGTGTGTCTTCATGGCTGGCTCTCTTATCTCATGGAAATGCAAGAAGCATCAAACTGACTCCAATTCCTCTACAGAAGCAGAATATAAGGCAATATCCAAAATTTGTAGTGAAGTTGTTTGGCTTCAATCTCTATTTAAGGAACCAAGTCATGCCCCTCCTACACCAAGTCCTCTGTATGCAAACAACACTAGTGCTACAAAGATTGCCTCTAACCCAGTCTTTCATGAAAGGACGAAGCATATTGAGGTGGACTACCACTTTATCCGTGACTTGTTTCTTGCTGGCCCCATCTCTCTCCCTCATGTCGCCTCTAATGTGCAGGTTGTTGACATCTTCACAAAGGGCATGACAAGATCCAAACACTTATTCCTTGTGAGCAAACTGATGCTCATGCCCTTGCATCAGTTTGAGGGGGAGTGTTAAGAGTTACATTGATGCATTATATTAATGTAGCTCATGTTGTATTGTATCCCAGAATTCTCTCTTGCATCAGTTTGCCATTATATTGCATGGCTATATCTTCAGGAGTCATTTTGAACAAAGTTAAGCCATTTGGGCTTTGACTTCCTCAGCACTAGTTTCTTCAGCAGCAGACAACATATTTTACCTAGATGTTAATTTTGTCAGTTCAGCAGCAGGCAAGTCAACATCAGCATATAACAATAAACACTTTTTCTCATTAGGCAAATTTACTTGCAGACAGTTTCCATTAGTTTCAACTCACGATATATTTGTTTGCAAAGCATTGTGAGTTTGAGAAAGTGTTAGGGAATGTGATACATTGTAATAAAATGTGTGAGGTACACAATATCATTGTCTACATATCTCAACATATTTTTAGGTGCTCAAAATCAGCTAGCGTTAGCTGAATGTTATGCATTGTAATAGTTAGTTGAAGTTTCCAATATTACAAGTAATAAAATCAGCTATTTAAACCCATTTGTGTTGTCCTTCAATATAAGATTTACACATATACAAATAGGAAAACTGTTCTTTTACCTATTCTTCATTTTTTACACCAAGTTGGTAAAATGATGCACTGTCTAGACTATGAATACAAGAAAATATGTTTGCTCCATAATACATAGATTTTCTTTTCATTTGTTACATACCTCAAGAGATGCTGAACTCAAATCAGCAAATAGATTTTGATGCAAAGACTTCAGTATCTGGAAGACCTCCAATGCAGAAGCCTGAATTCTTTCCAATATTGATTCAATTTGTAAAACCTGGATCATGTCAGAACCAGAGCCTTAGAACATGCACAATTTATTATACATGAAGAAACAAAGAAAAATACTTTCCAACTACCAAGCACACTACATGCCTAATCAAATGTCCCATACATCAGAGGAGAAGAAATGAAGATCATGTTACAGGAAATTTGTACCTCTCATGATCATGGAGTAGAAAGCTAAGAACAGATTTATTAATGCAGATATTAGTCCCTAAACAGATCTGATTTGGTAATTTTTTACAGCAGAAACACCTAAACTAAACAGAGGAAAGAGATCAAAGAGAGAAAAAAACATTCAAGCAATGGGCTGAAATTTTCTGCTAAAAATCGGTAAATTATTGAGACCTCCCCTTTTCTTTTAAGTGCTGATATGCCATCAACTTTAGTAACTGAAAATGCTCAAGTGATCTTTAAAACTTTTCAAAAGTCCAATTCACCCTTTTATGACACCTCTTCGTATATTATAAGGATAAAAACATCCTTGTTGTAATTTTTTGAGGCAAATTTTTCCTATCATAATATTTAGGTGGGAGACAAAGGAAAAAATAAAATAAAAATTAGATGGTAGAACTGTATTTAGTGTTTATAAATGAGGGTACTTACATGAATTGGAAGTATATTTAGATGCAAAACTAATACACATTTCTTTCACAAAGTGGCTAATGCTAGAGATAGAGTTTCAGCTATTAAGAAGTTGACATGGAATGAGAGATGTGGTGAATCTGATTCAGAGATTAAAGCAGTTGCAACCTCTTTCTATAAAGAACTTTACAAGGAAAAGTGGGAGCTGAGACCATTTCCCTTCAATCTCTCCTTTAAGCAACTGAGTGAGACCCAGAAAAGTTGGCTTGAAAGGCCTTTTACAGAAGAGGAAGTCAGTGCAGCAATTAAGAAGCTTGAAAGTGATAAATCACCTGGGCCGGATGGTTTTACCAATCTGTTCTACCTGAAGTGCTGGGACTTTGTGAAAGAAGATGTGATGAAGGTGTTCCAGGAGTTTCATGCAAATACGTCCCTACAAAGAAGTCTAAATGCCACTTTTATCTCCCTTATTCCAAAAATTGAGGGGGGCTGTGAATATTAAGGAGTTTAGGCCTATTAGCTTACTTCACAGTTTCTATAAAATCATGGCGAAAGTCTTGGCAGAAAGAATGAAAGGGGTGATAGGTAATGTTATTTCAAATAATCAGAGTGCATTTATTCCAGGCAAACAGATGGTAGACTCAATTTTAGTTGCTAATAAGTTAATTGACTCAAGGAGAAGACAGGGTATTCTGGGGGTTGTTTGTAAGCTTGACATTGAGAAGGCCTATGACAATGTCAATTGGAATTGTTTGGATAGGGTGTTGGAATGCATGAATTTTGGACAGAAATGGAGAAACTAGGTTAGTGTTTGTACTAAGACCTCTAAATTCTCAATCCTAATTAATGGGCAACCCATTCTCAATCCTCTATCACCCTTGCTGTTTATCTGTGTTATGGAAATCCTCACTCTTTTTAGTAAGAAGGCTGCAGAATCGGGATTATGGAATGGGTTTGCTATCTCTCCAGGTAAAGAGAAAGTTAATATTCTTCAGTTTGCTAATGATACCCTCTGCTTTGTGGACGCATCTCTGCCTCAGTTGGAAACAGTTCTTGGAATTCTGAGTTGGTTTGAAGTGGTTACGGGTCTCAAAGTCAATCTGAACAAAAGTAAGACCATCCTAGTGGGTCAAGTTGTAAATTTGGAAGATTGTGCAAAGATAATGGCCTGCCATATGGAGCTCCTTCCGGTTAAGTATTTGGGGTTGCCACTTGGGGCAAAATGTTCCTCTTCTTCAATCTGGAGTCCAATCATTGAGAGAATGGAGAAGAGGTTGGCTCTTTGGAAGGCTAAAGATTTATCTTTTGGTGGTAGGGTTACATTGATTAAGAGCTCCCAGTCCAATCTCCCAACACACTTTCTTTATCGCTTTCCAATTCCAAATAAAATTGCAAAGAGGTTGGAGCAAATGGATTTCAATGCTGCTCTTCTTAGCAAATGGATATGGAGATTTGCTTATGAGAGAAATGCTTGGTGGAGGTGCCTCATTGCGGCTAAGTATGGCGTGGATTGGGGAAATTGGAAAACTCTCGATCCCCTTTCATTTGGGGGTAGTTCTCTATGGGCTGGTATTTCTAAGATCAGTACTATTTTCATGAACGGGGTCAAGTTTAAAGTTGAAAAAGGGGATAGAATCAAGTTTTGGAAGGATTCCTGGTGTGAGGAAGGCCCCTTGGCTGATGCTTTTCCCCGGCTGTTCCAAATTGCAGTGAATCAAGATTCTTCAGTTGCTGATAACATTAGTACCGCTGGGGGCTCCTTCTCTTGGA